TCAGCTCAGCAGAAACCCCCCCCAGAGAGATGCTGGGGACACAGAGAGGTAAGGAAGCGAGACCCAATGAAAGCAGGCTGGAGAATGGGGATGACGAGGTACCGTATTCCCATTTCGGAAACCAACAATCAACCTTGGCTAACATATTGTCCTCAGACATTGTGGAGCTTGTTGAGCCAGAGATTCCAAAGTGCACCTATTTCAACCTACCGCACGGCAGCGACTCGGACCCCTTTCAGGACGACCTGAGCAGCAAGAGCCAAAATGGGGCAAAAACTGATGATACAGCACTAAAGAGGCAGGATCCCAAGCCGGCTGATGGGGAGCCAAAAATGTGGGGGGGCCGAAACGGCTTCCTCCCCCAGCCCCCGGCAGTGTTCAGAATGCCGGACAACAAAGTGCATCCTGCACCCAGCTCAACGGCGGCCCAAGCTGTCGTCTTACAGCCACCCAAGAGTGATTTCAACAGGCCGATTGACGAGCAGGACACTCTGGAGATGCTACACTTCATATGTGGACAGCACTGTCCGATTCTGTAACCTGATTGTGCAACGGTGGCAGCTACTTGTTCAAAAAGAGCCGACAGCGAAGACTGAGAGTCAGAGTCACCTGTTTGCTAAATGCTAAATGGAGCGAATCCATATCACTAAGCATTATGAAGTCCTGCAGGTATTTGGTGCCTGACCTGTTTTGTCTGTATACTTTGATTGAGCTCTTCTATAAAATACGGTAGGATTTTTTTTCACAACTTCAAATGTGCAGGAATTAATTGGAAATAGAAACCTGCAATTGTTAAATATCTAGAAATACCAGTATGTGCTTTTTATATGAATTGATTTGCTTTACTTATTTATTTATTCCTTTATTTATTCAGGCTTTTCCAGGTCTAAAAATATTTGCAGAGCATTTTACGTAAGGGTTTATATAAATGTGAGCAATAAAAACAATTGTTTATCGGTTTTCTTTTTCACTCAGAAACCAGCATTCCCATTGACAAAATGTATATTTTGTTCAGAAAAATCTAAGTATGTTTTTTTTGTTGGTGGTTTGAGAATTTTGAAACATACTGTACATTAATATGATGCTAACTTACCTAGTTCTTGTATAGCTTTGTGAGTTTTAAAGTAATTATCATTTATTCATTATATATTGGATCTGGATGCGATTTCTCATATATAAACTTACCTATTTCTTGGAAATTTGAAAACAGACCATTATCAGATATATTCTATTATATGGGCTGGCGTGTAGCTCTTGTGTCCGGAAGGTTGTGGGTTCACATCCCACGGTTGGCAGAGTTTAAACCTACTAGCTGACCCTGCTCTCAGACCCCAAGCTTCTCTCAGTCTTTTGGACATTAAAGTCTTCTAGATATGTGCAAGGTGATATTCACCACAGCAGAACATCACCATATACAGCAGGCTTGGTTCTGTGCAGAAAGATCACTGTAGCACTGGATTTGATGATACTGTGTTAGATTGACATGCATAGACTTTTGTCAGCTGGAATTCACCAACAATTTTTTTATTTTACTTTACTGTTGGATAAATTGTAATATTAAGCCAAGTCTTTGGTTTTTGTAGATAAATGAATTTTATATGTTGTTTCTGTTTT